GCCTCGCTGGCGAGCCGGCGGCCGCATGTCCGACCCTGCGTCGGGGGGGGGGGGCGCGGCGGGCGCGGAGATGCAGAGCTCCTGGGGCCCGGCAGCCGCGCGTCGGCTGCCCCTGCCGCTCTGGCGGTCCTCTCCAAGAACCGCTGCCGCCGGTGCCTCGCGTGGCCGAGGTGGGCGTCGCGATCCTCGGCGCTGCCGGCCGTGTCCGCCAGGTCTTGGGCGCGCCGACAGAGGCGCCCCGGCGCCGCATGAGTCTCCTCGCCGAAACCCGCGGCTGCGCTCTGGATGGCGCGGGCGCCGTCAGAGCCGTTGGCACGGGCGCCAGGGTAGATCCCCATCATGGCCTCCCAGGCGTCTCCGTCTCGAGCGGCTCGGGGGTCGCTCGGCCGAGGTGGGGCGAGACCCCGCGCTGTCGGCAGCTGCTGTCGGGGCGCCCCTGAGGGGGCCTGCAAGGAGTGCTGCTGCGACCCAAGCGTTTCCAGCGTTGCTCCAATCCGCGCAAGCCTCTGGGGCCGAGTGCGCCGCCGCCCCTGCGGGGGCGGGGCCCCGCCTGATCACATTGGCTGTCAGGGACTTGAAGCTGCCCCCGCCGGCGCCGCCCGACGGGGCACGACCCCCCCCCCGACCAGCGCCCCCATGGCTGCTTCGCCCAAATGCGATACGAAACTGCAGCGGCCGTCAATGAGATGCCGAGCTCCTGGCCGCTGGCCGGGGGGCGCCAGGAAATCCTGGAGGAAGCGGCCCGCGCTGCTGACATTCGGCGATGGCAAGAGCACGTCCGAGTTGATGCGGAAGTGGGCGTCACCGCCGCGGGGGCCGCGCACGTGGGCCCTGGCGTCGGATCCTGGCTCGTTTGCCCCCCTGGCCCCCCGCGGAAGATAACCCGCCGGGGGCCCTCGGACCAGCGGGCGCGGGCCTTGACCGCGACGCGCCCTCCCCGGTCACGGCTCCGAGCTCTTGCGCCGGTGCTCTGGTCGGGCAGCGGCGCCGACGGGGGGTCGAAACGCGCGGAGCTGCGGGCGGCGCCAGGAATCCTCGCCGGGAGGGGGCCTGCGGGCCCCTCTGGGCCACCTCGGCCGCGCTAGCAGTTGCCGCCCGCCCTGGGCCGCGGCTGCCGCGGCCCCCGCGCCCTGGGCCCCGCGCCAAGAACCCAAGTGGGGGGGGGCTGGGGCGGAGCTGCCGCGGCACGTCCAGCCCTTCCTCCAAGGTGGGCCAGGCGCGCGGGCACCCCTGCTGCGTGTCCCGCGGGCAGCAGGCAACAGGTCAGCTGCCGGCACTTGTCCTTCAGCCGCGTGGCCTGGTAGACCTGGTCGCGATGGGCGCAGAGGCAGCCCGCGGCGTTGCGACCTCAGCCGGCGGCGGGAGATCTGAGGCTTGGCCGTCCTCGAACAGAGTGGTCGGCTCGGGCCGAGCGGCGCCGCGGCAGCCGTTGACCGCAAAGGGGCGCGCGCCGCTCTCGACGTCGGACTCGCACTCCTGGCCCATCATTTCGGCCAGCCCAGTTGCCGCGCCAGGCGCCGCGTCGCCAGTCGCAGTGCGACGGCGGCGGCGCTGGCGGCAACGCCTCCCTCCACTGCAGAGCCAGTCCCCAACGAGCACGGCCCCCCGCCAGAGGGGGCGGACTGCTCCGATGATGAGGTGCCGCGCGATGGCCAGCCCCCTGCTAGTGGTGAACGGGGCGCGGGAGCCCGCGTCGGCATTGCCTCGGAGTCGAGGGCTGCGCGCTGCTGGTTGTGGGCGTCTCCGTCTTTGGCCTTGCAGTCCTGCGAAAAATCGAGGTGGGCCCTCGCCGATTCTGCCTCCTCGGGCCGCTGTCTCGGGGCGCGCGAGCAGGCCCCCGCCGCCGCGGTGCAGTTGGTCCAGAGGCCTGACTGCTCGGCGCGGTTCGCGGCCAAGGGGTCAGCGACGCGCCCGTCGATCTGGACGAGGACGTCGTCGAGCTTCCGATCGGTACCCCGTCTCTTGATCTTCCTGGCGAAGTATTTGATGGTGGCCGTCGCCCCCGTGCCGGGTCCCCAGCTCAAGCCGCTGCTGTAGGCTGAGGCCCCGCTGGTGGCAGAAGCCCATCCGCTTCCGCATCTCCCGGCGAATTCCGGGGGCACCTGAAGACGCTGCGCGCCACGCCGAGCATCCGGACGCACCACCTGCCCGGGGCGAAGAAGGTGCGCAGGCTGTGGGCGACCCCGGCCAGCGCGCCCGCGAAGCAGAGGAAGGGGTGCCCCGGCTCCCGCCGCGACGGGCCAGGCCGCGCCGAAAAAATAGACGCCCGCCGCCCGCGTGGTCGGCGAGGTAGACGAGCCACCCGCCATCCCTGGAGAGCCAGCCCGCTTCCTGCTGGGTCGAGAGGGCGCCCCTGAGGTTCTCGACAGCTTCGAAGGCCCAACCCCCGACACCTTCAGCTCGCAAGGACCAGGTCTGGTCGCCCAGAGACTACCAACTCAAGATCTGGGTTCCCCAACCCCCGATCCAAGAGACTTCTGGGGCGTTGTGGTGGGGGCGCGACTGGTTGGCAGCCCTCTCCCCGGGAGCTGGCGGCTCGGGCGGCTCGCCGGGCGGGGAGACGCCTGCCAACGCCGGCCCGAGCTCGCTCGGCTCCTCGGTCCCGGAATCCACGGGGATCTCCGAATCGTCGCGCGTGAATGAATCGTGCCGACGCCTCTGTGCTGGGGAGGCTGGGCAGCCCCAGGCGTGGACCATCGGCATGCTTAGGCGGCGCGCCCGAGGGGGAAGTGAGAAGGGGGGGCCTTCCCAGAAGGCTCGGAAGCTCCGGCCCTCCGAGAAGTTGTCTGGACCTTCCCCGGAGACGCAGAAAACCTCACAGAAAGAGCGAGGGCATCTGATCAGCCCCGCTGCCTTCTCGGAAGGCCTCCTCCCCCCTCCTCCTCCTCCTCCTCCTCCTCCTCCTCCTCCCCCTCCTCCTCCTCCTCCTTCTCCTCCTTTTCCTCCTCCTCCTCCTCCTTCCTCCTCCTCCTCCTCCTCCTCCCCCTCCTCCTCCTCCTCCTCCTCCTCCTCCTCCTCCTCCTCCTCACTTCCCCCCTCGCCCGCCGCTTCGAGTGTTGTCTTGGAGGGCCCAGGGCCAGCCCACCTCCCAGCGAGCTGGCGGGCCCAGCCGGCCTGGCCACCTCCTCGCCAGCTCGGCCTAGGAGGTGGGGTCGGCTAGACGTAAGAGCGACCCTGGGCAAGAGTGACCGCTGGTGCGCAGCCTTTGGGGGCGCGAGGGAGCCAAGCCGAAGGGCGCGGGCCGCTTACATCGCCTCGCGCTCGGCGATCGGGGGGAGCCCGATGATTTGGACGCCTGAAATGGGCACGGAAACAGTGGGCACAATGCCCAACAGCAAATGTTGTCCCGAACCAACGGCGGCCGCTGTTGGGCAGGCGGCCTTGTGTCTCAACTGGACACAGGCCGCGGCTGCGCCGACGGCGAACCCTGTTCACAACGAACAAGAACTGCTGTTGGTCTTTGTACCCACTCTTTCCGTACCCATGTCGGTCCTCCCGAGGGGAGCCCGCACGAGAGGTCACTCTGGCGAAGGGCCACTCCTACGTGCGCAGCTCTTGGGGGCGCGAGGGAGAGCCAAATCTGAGGGCGCGGGCCGCTTGCATCGCACCGCGCTCGGCGATCGGGGGGAGCCCGCGGAGCCCGCACCAGAGGTCACTCTGGCGAAGGGCCACTCCTACGTGTAGTCGGTGGGGGGGCCGCGGCGCCGCACGGCGGCCGGCCGCCGCGCCCCCGCGGCTCCGCGCCGCGCGGCGGGGGCGGCCAGCGGAGGAGGAGGAGGAGGGGGAGGAGGAGGAGGAGGAGGAGGGAGGAGGAGGAGGAGGAGGAGGAGGAGGAGGAGGAGGAGGAGGACGAGGAGAACGAGGAGGACGAGGAGCGGCACATATAGGCCCGGCGCCCCGGCGCCCGGCACCACGGCGGCGCGCGCCTGGCGCCCTCTCAAGCAGGGGACGCCCCGGAATCCTGCGGGCCGCCTGGCGGGTGGCACAACGGTGGGCCTGCGTTCGACCACCACCACCATGAGCAGGAGGGGGGAGAGAGGGGGTCCTCCTCCTCCTCCTCCTCCTCCTCCTCCTCCTCCTCCTCCTCCTCTTTCATTATTATTATTCTTCTCCCTTCTTCTTCTTCCTTCCTCCTCCTCCTCCTCCTCCTCCTCCTCCTCCTCCTCCTCCACCCTCCAACTTATGGTATGGGTGGTGGTGGACAACAGGCCCATCATACAATGGGGGTGACCTGCACGGGGGGTGAAGGAAAGGGCTCGAGAGGAGCCGTTTGGGGCCCTGCGTCTTCCCCCCCCCCCCCCGGGCGGGTCAGCCCCCAGGGCGCCACCCGCCCGAGGACCTCGTGGAAGGGACCCCCTCCGGAGCCCACGGCCTCGCAGAGCCAACTGAGGCAGACCCCCGGCTCGACCACCCAGAAAGTACACCTTGCGAAATGCTTTAGAAATCATGGGTTAAGAAATTCATAGTCTCAGAACTTGAATAAAAACCCAACACTTCCTTTAAAATCTTAAGATTTACATTGAAACGTTAAGAATAATCGAGACTCTGGCCGAAAACTTAAGTTTTCTTAAGCATCGCCCAAGGTGTAGGCTCGAGCCCCCACAGGGGGAGAGAGAAAGAGAGAGAGAGAGAACCCCCCAGAAAAGAAGAGCAAGGGCAGAGGCAAGGAGAGGGAACTCGCACCTCCCTGGGGGCCGAGGACGCCTAGCGCTTACACCAGACAGCGAAATCTAAAGCGGGTGAAGTGCTCCTCGCGAGGGGCCGATGTCATCCCGAGCGGCCGCCTTCCAACCAGAACCCCGCAAACATAGATGACACCGTAAAATGATACGCGCCCATCCATGCTCCGCATCTCCTGCCTGCTCCTCCTCCTCCTCCATCTCCTCTTCTCGCTCCTTCCGAGGTTGCTGCTCCATGTCCCTTTCCTCCCCTTTCTCGGCCTGTGATTCAATGTCTGGTCATCTTTCCAGCCGTAGAGTGGCAGCGCGGGGGCGGCTGGCATTGATACTGTCGGTGAAACCCCTGCTGTCCAGGTAGCGGATCACGCGGTGGGCCTTCAGGGCAGGAGGAAACAGCGAACAGTCGATGTTGACAGCGGGACTGGGTGGCGAGTGAACTGATGAGTCCGACTGCTTACGCACGATGCAGAGGAAGGAAGGAACAACAAAAACAATTCAAACAACAATTCGCAAAATGCTGGAGCAAGAGGGAAGCAGCCGGAGGACCAGCCGCAAGCAATGCGCAAAACGCGTCTTGCCAAGCAGCTTGGTGCAGTCGGGCACAGGGTTGCCGCATCGCGTGTACAGAATACTCATCCCGTATGATTCCCCCACCTCCAGCAGACGCAGATATGTGGACATTTTGGTACACAGCTTGATCAGGATACCACTCTAGCGGGCACTCCACGCTGCACTGGGCCCCCTAAACATGCGTAAGTGGGCATCACCAGGATGGAACAACAAGAACAGCCCGCGTCAGAGCACCCATAAATTCGGCACGTATCCTCGAGCTGAGCCAACTTTCGAATCGCGGGCAGGTGTCTGATACATCAGCTCTGAAGAGGAAGACAAGGTGAAGGGTGATCTGAGTCGTGGTGGGGACTGAGAGCTGAGAACGCGCGACTGGTCGGGCCTCCTCCACCTTGTTGTTCAGCACAAGCTGTTCAACCATGCAACCTGTTGTCACCTGCGCGAAGGGGCTGGCCTACCCCCCTGCATGGCGCGGTGCAATCGATCCATCTGGGCAACATGTCACATCGCAGACATGAACAGTAATGGTGGCACATGATACGCATCCATATCACGCCTGCCTACGTATACGTGTGTCGCGCCTGTGCAATTGCGCTCACCTTCGCAACTGCTGGCATCATACTCATGAATACCGGTGGTTACGAATACGGCTCATCTTCTTCGCTCCCTGACCTCGGGATGGCCTCGACCCTTCACCGCCCGCGGTGAGCGGGATAGCAG